TTGTAGCTACCCAAGGAAATAAACACCATCAATAAGACCGCTATCGCCATTTACCATCTAACTAAATAATGGAGTACCTACTTGGGAGCGAACCAACATCCTATCGACCAGAGCTGGGATCGTTACTTGAAAAAAGTAACGAGTTACTTTACAGTTACTTTTGTTTAAAAATAACTCGTTACTTAAAATTTACAGTTACTTTCGAATAATGATAACTTTATTTTCGTTACTTATTGGAAAGTAACGCGTTACTGTAACTTCTTAACTTTGAAAGTAACTTCTTTACTTTAAAAGTAGTTCGTTACTTTTAAAGTAACGCGTTACTTGAAAAATAACTATTTACGTCGAAAATTGCGTTATTCCTTAATTTGACTCACCAACACAGCAGTCCAAACAATCAAATAAGACCTATACGAAATGCCAATATGTTTTTAGTTTGTGAGTCCGACTATGTGGAAGAGTATTCTTGCAAAATTCAAGCGGATTAAGGATTAAGCGACTGAATAGAGCACTTGGTTTTGGACAAACCTGCTCTTTGAAGCGTCCCAGTGTCTGCATAGAGTGTCTTTAGAGCAGAGGCGGTGCGTGGCACGCCCAAAAACGATTATTTTGAGCTTTCAAAACAAATTTTCTGTACTACCAACATTTTATTTGACATAGGTACAAAGTTTTTGGATTACTTATTTTCCTTTTCCTCACTCGTCAATTATTTGTAAAGAAGATAAACAAATTGAGAGAACGAGTTACTTTCATAGTAACTAGTAACGCGTTACTTCCATCGTTACTTCAGGAAAGTAACGTCGTTACAGTTACTTATCAATCAATCTGAAAAGTAACGAAGTTACCAAGTAACGCGTTACTTTCAGTAACTCGTTAAAGTAAAGTAACTTTTTTTTGTCGTTACTCCCAGCTCTGCTATCGACCCATTAGCGTAATTTCCTGTCTCCTTAAATCCATGGAGACATACTTGTTCATCATGTCCAACTTATGATCAGCATTCTTAAAGTTATAGCAAGGGGTGCTTAATGGAGAATGGAGCCAAGACAAGAATTTAAGGCAAGATAAGATGAAATGGAGTATGAGACACTTGAGACAGTTCGCAACTGAACTGAACAAACCTTCACAATCTGCAAGTGAGTTGTTATCATCAAACAATAACTGGTTATTGATGTAACGAAATTTCCTATTAAGAACTTACAGCTCCGTGACAACTCACAAAATGTCTTATTGCTTTTAAACAAAGTTATCCTCGGAAGATTGTATTAATACTAATAAATAGTTGATCAATTCAAAGGCACTATTGATTAAGTGACCATCCGTCCCGATTTAGGCGAGACAGTCCCGATTTCGAGCTACGAGTCCCGATTTAATAGGCGTCCCGCTTTTGTCCCGCTTTCAATAAATTCCAACTATCAACTTTTTATTATTCATTTATTTTAAATCAAATTAAAAAACTATTTCGTCCAATAGTTATAATGAATTGTTAATTCAAATCTATAAGATTTCGCAGATTGCAGAGCTCACGTCACAATAGTCACAACCATTAGCGTTGAACTCTGCTTGAGCATTTTCATTGTCCTCATTGTCCTCTCTGGTTGCATCTTTGTGAAGGACTGTGAAACTTCTTGGGCGGCGGTCTGATATTTGGACGACAATGGGGAGTGATTTGAAAAATGCGTCACGGGCAAATTTCGTTACTCGAGAGAGAAGAAAGATATAACGTAAAACGACGGAGTAAGACAGCCAATGACAATGACAGCCGACGAACGATTGACACAAACCAAAGATTAATAATCAAGAGGATTGTCTATCATTGTCAAGCGCTGATACCCTCGTGACGTAACCTCAGATGCGGGTCTGCCTCAATGTTCCTAAAGTTAATAGGTTGTCAGGTAATGGGTAACTTGATGACGCATCTTGGGTGCCTTATGGAGATATGGTTTATGTTGAAGCACCCGACGACGTCATAAAGTTATCAGGCAACCTACCTCTCTCAAATAACTTTGGGTCTCCCTTTTGCCACGTGTGGTCCTTCGTCTTTACCCCTCGACTCATACGCAGTCTAAAAGTTGTATGAGGAGGAGATAATTTTTGAGAAATTCCACTTCCACCACGTGTACGGCGCGGACATGATTTTTTTTTATAGTTTAAAATTTGTTTTTTTTTGTGTACCCAAAAAAACTAAACTGAAACTGGAAACGATATTTTTGAGAACTTCGTGACTGTCCCGATTTAGGCTTTCAAGATCTGGTCACTTTAACTATTGACGGACTTCAAACAATCCTCGCGACGCAGCAAGCCGGAAACATTACAGGAGGGATATAGGTACACACAGCCGATACACCAGAAAGAACCATCAAACTTCAGTCTTCACTGATATTCCAAACATCCTTGAATGAAGGCTTACTAATAGATAGAAAAAAACTATTTAAGACTGTATTCCTTATAGTCAGAAGAACCTCCAATACAATAGCACAGAATGAATAACAAACAATCAGAAGTAACACAGAAAAGGAGATCCGATCGTCACGGAGGAAGCCACGCCCCTTGGGCAACGGCGAAAAGATGTTCAGTTGGAGCGCGTCACCAGGACAAGTTAGTTTTATAATTATTCTAAATGTTGGCGGAAGAGAGTTTTACCAGTGTGCGCACCTGATATTTCCTCTGTTAGCTCGGTTCGAGGTCCTAGAAAATCTCTTTTTCTGTATTCCTTCCGATTGTTTGTTATTATGTGACAATAGGCGCGAATTTATTCCGATTCAAATACATGACTTGGAACTTTTGGCAAGGCTTCGGAGTACTTCGGACTAGGTACAGTTGCGATCAAAAAAAAGTAGTACAAGAAAATTCTCCAAAATCTCCTGGTCTATTATACATTAATTTAATTCATAACCAAAAATTACATATTTTTGGCATTTTTCGACAAGTTTCTAACCTAGAAAGCTTCAGATGACATTACTTTGGCATTTTTCCACCCGTTTTTAACCTACAATATGCCATTGCCTGTTTATATTTATTGTCAAAATTTTACACCGGGAGCTCAAATTGGAGTTAATAATTTTTGTACTACTTTTTTTTGATCGCAACTGTACAATACATCACGTGATGATAACCAACCAACTGTGGTGTGGGACCCAACATCTAACTAAATTCAATCAAGTCTCAGTCAGAGCTACTAATTTGTGAGACTCCAATTTTGGACGATGCCACTTCTCATTCTCAAACACTAAATCAGGAACACAAAGATGCTGTTCCGTATAATAAGGTAATGTCTGCCCAGCGAATCTGTGTCTACGGGGCAACGGTGAGGGGAATGCAGTTGTGAAAAAAAAATGGCTGATTTCATTCATAAAATACCCAGCTGCGTGCGGAACTTTTTGGAAGTGTTATCGTATTGCAACTCGTACACGAAAATTGACAATGACCAAACCTCCGCCACTGGATATTTCAATATAAATTGATATTCCAAGATGGGAGGATAAAATGACGTCAGGCCTGGCCAATAGCGAGACATAAGGTGACGTTGGCTCATTGACAACCGTATGGTTTCCCATGGCAACGGCGATCCTGCCAAAAACTCCACCAATCAGGTTCATCCAGGCCGGATGCTTGCCAAATTGTCAAAAGCGGATGGTATATTTAGAAAATGTTTATTTTTTACAATAGATCAAATTGAAGAAATCAGGAGAAATAAGAATAGATCTAACAACCACGTTAAAATATTTATCGTTTTATTATTGTTATCAATATTTTGTTATTAAAAAATGGATTTTCAAATGAACTATACTTCATGTCTAGTATTTTTGCTTTTTTATAATTAAACGTGGCAATATGGCGCATTTATATCCGAATTCCTGCCGTAGACTCAGATCCGCTGGGCAAGCAATATATGTGCAGATTTTGGCATAATAAATCGTCAAGTTGCCTTGAGGAAAATATATCTGCAGACTTGATTAAAATTGAAGACGGGTGCAATTTTAACAGACTAACTTTGAATATTGAGAAAACTAATGTCCTGTGCTGTGCTTTAAGTGTGATCTGAAGGGGCTAAAGATGGGAAGTGGTTCGCTTTAGGAAAGGGATTCCTGCAAGTTTTTGGGATTGTTCATTGATGGGCATTTGCGTTTTGGCTATAAGTAAAACTTTTTTTAAAATCAATTTCTGTGATATTGGGGTAATGACCATTGCCGTCTCCCGCCAGCTCTAAGCAATAACCAATTTTTACAGGATTAAATAGTTTTATTACTATTCGAGTAATGTCCCTTTGGCAATAAAGTTGTCACAGTTAAGGTGTTTCCAGTTTTTTGATATGGCCAAAAAAAAAGCCTTAGAATCTTTGGACAAAACTCCTCCAAATAATCAATAATTGGCTATAGTCTAAGAGCTTAGCGCCGAAAAAATTCTCTGAAATCACTTACTAAAGCTAGTTTTTAGACAGTTGATTATAGTAGTTGTGTACATAAATATACCGCAGTCCGATTCTTAGAATAAGGAACTAGGGTGTCTTGTTAAAGTAGTCGAGATAACTTAGGTAACGAACTTACTAAAGCTGAAAATCGTTATACATATTATATATAACATAATATAAATAACAGTAAAGTTAGTGTCAGTTGAATAGCGGGACCGTGCTGGTCAGTCAGCCCCAATATATATTTTTTTTTAAATTCGCTCAAATCAAATCTAAAATTTCTTTTCTGTAGGTTGAATATAGTAATATTTTAAGCCACTTCGTTCCATTACCCAAGTTATCTCGACGCGTGACTGACCGCGCTATATTTTTGTACATAACTACCGTGATCAACTGTCCAAAAACTGGCTTTAGTGAATTCAGGCGCTGGCTCTCCGTCTATAACCTGAGGAGGACAATTCCCCTATTATATTTTTAGACCTAATCAATTTTCTTACCTATCTACTACTGATGAGCCAAATGTAACAAGAAACCGTTATACAGAACAGATACAGCAGCAGAACATACCTACCTGATAAATGAGAATGAGCCTTTGTCGCGCACTTAAATAGGGAATGAAGAGTTGAACAAGAAAAATAAAATTCCTTCTCAAACTGTTTACGGATTTATTTGTACAATAAAAATATTCACAATGAAAAAAACTATAATTAAAAACAACATCAACATCGAAATAATTTAAAAATTCGTTAATAAGTTAATAAGAACAAATAGATTAAAAAATGCATTAAATGCGAAAAAAAACTACAAAAAATCAGTACCAATAATCATATCGCGAAAAATATACATACAACAATAAACATTAATTTGGTAAATTTTACCAAACAATAACTATAGTAATAAAAAAGGTTAAGATTCAATTTTTTTTACACTAAACAATATTTAAAGCTGAACATAAGAGGCGAAAACATTTTTCTAAACAGAAACGATTCTGTCTCAACAAAAAGAAATTTACAAAATAAAACACAAAACAAAAAGCCAAAAGTCAATGTTACAATTAATTTAACATATTTTTAATGCTTTCAACGTCTTTCACATTGTAAGGTACATTTTCATAAAAGATTTTTGAATGTTACATTGATTGGCTTGAAACCTAAATGCCCCTGCCTTTCTGTTTCTAAGGAAAAACAAGTTATCCACATAGAAATATACGAAAAATGTTTGATGTTAGAAAAAAAACAAAAAAAGGAGGATTGTTGATTAATTCTATATTAATTTTATAACAGTTTATTTGATCAGAAATATTTGGTTGACTTTGTGGAAGTAATAATAGCTTGTAGTGTATTACAAATTCTAGCATTAGTAGACCATGAGTAAATGTTTGATTGTATTACATTGGAATCATAATTCGATAGTAAATTATTTGATGAGCAGCTTCTTCTCACAAGTTACATAAAGGCCGGGACACATCTATCATGCATTTTTCCGATCCGACTCCGATCATACAATCAAGGTCCTTATTCTTGGAACATAGGAGCAGCGTTCCCAGGAGAGCGCCTGGAAACACTGCTCCCTGTTCCAAGAATAAGGATGATTGATTGATTGATTGATTGTATGATCGGAGTCGGATCAGAAGAATGCATGATAGATGTGTCCCAGGCTTAAGGCAACTTGAGGATATAGGCATAATAACCTCTGCCTGGAATAATATGTGCAATGAACATGAAAATGTAAACCACAAATATTCCTTCTCAAACATTACTGTAAACTACAGTATACATGGGAAGACGAAAAACCTATAGAAGTTATTATCTCCTAAAAATAAGTTCCTCTATAGCCTTAAAATTTAGTCACTCTATGTCGTTATTGCTTAACAATTAAATATATATTTTTATTTAGATGATACAAAGGGTAAGACATTATCTAAGACACGGGTTTGTACTTATAACCGTAAAAAATCAAAATTTTAGTAGCTATTCACTCCACTATACAGGGTGGTGTTTTTTTTTTTTTTGATAAAAATGTATTCATCATAATCAAAGACCCTGTACAGCACAACACAAAAGAAAACGGTTGTGATTGTCAATTATTTTATACGCTTAAAAAAATATGTCCAAAGATCTTCAAAATAATATATTAAACCTCTATTCACTTTTTGAAAAAGTTTTATGTATTTACAAAACACAAAACGAGATTTTTGGAATCGTGACATTAAATTTTCTACGTGAAGACCGAACACTTTGTGAGAAAGTTTAACTTCTATTCTCGGTATTTCAAAAATCAATCAAATTTTTAAAAAAATCGCTATACAGAGTGGCCCACATAGGAATAAGCAGCTTGGAAATCTCGGGAAAGATGAAAAATATTTGCACTTGTCATTGGGTAAATTGAATATAATGGAGTGCGTTTAGAAATAGAGTGTGAGGATAGAGTAGTTGTTCGTCAGAGTGTTCTGACGTCACCACTTGGAGTGCATTCTGGGTGCGCTATTTCTGAACGTAATGGGGCGTTTTGGTAAATGTTAATGTCAAACTCGGTAAAAACCACGGGGCCTTTTTCAACCCAGTCCCTGAGTGGGGTAATTTGGGCGTACTCTGGGCGTGTCAACTCTCGATTTCTGACTGATTCCAGTGTAACGCTTCGAGTAACCACCTGGTAATTTATGAACGGTTTAGAGTTACTCTAGGGTCACTCTCATAACCAGAGTGCTATTTCTAAACGCAACCCTGAGTGGAATTATTTGATCCTTAGTCAACTTCTTTCTAGCTACGAGTTTACATAGAATTAAGAATTATTAAATTTTCTTCCAATACAAGCTGCTTCCTTGAATTTGCGGTTGTCCCAGTACTGTTCTTTGTCTAGTAATTCCGCCTGAACCCATTGAATGCAGGCATTGTTCAACATCCAATGGGCTCAGGCTAAAATACTAGATAGAAAACAGAAGAACATGGAATTTCCAAAGATATGGAGTCCCTCTCAAAACGCTGATAAAACATTAAACAATTCCAAGAAGGTTCTAAGAAGTTGAGGTCGTAATTTTATATAAACTTGTAACTATTGGGAGATTGAATCAGTTGTTAACTTGATTTGAACATAATAAGATTTTATTCAAATATTTGAAAAGATAAATATGTATAATAAATAATTTCCATCAAGTGCATTCCTTATTTGAAGCACCCTTTGTATATTATATTTAAAGTATTTTTTTATACATAACACTGGCGTTCCTTGCTTAAGATATTTATATATGTATATATTATATAGCAGTCTTAAATTTGAGAATCTCTAGGGTCAAATTTACTATTCACTAGTAAATATTCTGTACATTTTTTTGTTCCACTAAAAGGAGAAGAGTTCTTAATCGATACGACAGCAATAACAGTCTTTAACCGAGACATTCAAAAATCAAATTTCTAGCACCAAAGCTTTGCTGTCGAATCTATAAAAGTCCATTAATTACTTGGCAATATTCGCTCACATAAATATTACACCTAAAATGAAGCTCAAGATTAACAATCCTACTCATGACACTGACGAATCCGTTGTCGTCATGCATCGCAGAAGAACATTCGGGTCTAAATTCATTCTTGAAGCTAGTAGGTAATTGTCGTCGCCTATTGGAGCAGCTCTAGAAAAAAAGTTAATAAATTTTAGAAGAATACCACTAGGGTAAGGGTCAATTTTTCAAATATATGTAGCAAATTCTATTTGCCGCTTCAAGTGCTCAGCATTTTTAAGATTAAGATAATATATTTTTTATTATGCATGCATCATAATCAACGCTGCAGCGTGCATAAAATGATGTTTATGATGCGTCTACCTTTTCAAAGGTTTGCGATAGAAACGTTCGATCTACCTTCATTACCTAGATATTTACCTGCATACCTGCCATTTAAATTACTACTTATCAAAATGAATGAACACTTTTAAAACATTTTTGAGATTATGATGCATTCATAATAAAAAATATCGTATGATATGCATGTATAAGAGGGCATTTGAAGCCCTTGCGACTTACAAAACACTCCGCTGCGCGTCGTGAAATATGTCGCGCGTGCTTTAAATGCCCTCTTATACACTTATATCATAATATACTAATAGACCGGTGGCCCAGCGTCAAATCACCCCCCTCATCGGGCAAAAAATTTTCATTATATGTACTCGAAACACTATATCATTCGTGAACAAAAACCGCCCGTCTGCCAGCGATGGGTGGTAGCCCGCTCCCGTGACCGCCCCCCAAATAAGGGAATTTTGATTAAAAACCCCCCTAACGAGTACACAATAGTTATTTTTGTATCTAGTGCGCGAAATGCTCGATTCGATTCGATTCGATGATTCGAAGCCAAAATTGCATTCTCAATCAAAGGTAGGTGAATTTTAATTATTTTTGGTTTCCTGACAGGTATGTGTCAACATGACACCAGTGTGCGAACTAGCTATTTCGCGCACTAGGGTGCGAAATAGCTAGTTCGCACACTGGTGTCATGGGAACGTTAAAAAATCAATACCTGGGAAAAAAGTGTCTCCTCACAAACTGTCATGAGTGTGCGAAGATCATCATTTTTTTGACAGTTGTAGAAAAATTAAATTTTTTGGGCATGTAGGGAATTATATCAGAAACCTAAAAACACGTGGCAGACGCCTTCCAGTGGTAGCCCGTTCAGGGCAGGCGACCTTAAAAAAAATATATACTATACTTAATGTTCCTTAATATCATGTACCATCGTCACCAAAAGTATCTGGGACACAAATAATGCATAATAATCTCCTGGACTAATTCTTCTGTCATTCATTTTAATGCATTTAATTCATAGTTTGACAAATATTTGACAATAAAATTCATATAATAGAACAAGAGCTAATGTGATGCTGTCCCAGTTACTTTTGGTGACGATGGTACAAACGAAAGGGGATGATTCTTTGACTTATTTTATGACTAAAATTTCTAATAAACATAGGTCCGCAAACGCTTCGTTACTGATCTACAGGGTGTTGAAATTTCAATATTTTTTTAAAAGTTTTTTCTTTATAGCTCCTTCAATTTTTGAGGGATTTAGCTCAAATTTGGGATATAGGTTACGCAATAGGAGCTGACTAATTGCACATGTTAAACGTTTGCCAGAATCTACAGGGTGATGTTTTTTCAGGGGTCATGTCCCCTTTTTTGCCCCTCAACTTTTTCGCAGTGCGCCGCAGGTCGATTCTAAGACACAAAACAATTTTTCTACCTTATTTAGAAACTTTAAATCCTCTTGTAGTTTTTTCGTATCACCGACCCTTATCGAGAAAAAAATTAAAAAACAAATCTCTGTAATTAGCTAGATGAAACTAAAGTGACTCAATAAACCTTTTCTACCTACAGTAATGACAATAGAGGTCCCGCAGCCATATTCTTGGTCATTTTTAATAGGAATCTAGAAGTGAGACACCCCTCGCCGCCATATTCTTGCTCATTTTCAATATAGATAGGTACATTAAAATTTCAACACCGTGTATATCGGTAACCAAGCATTTGTGGACCTGTTTATTAGAAATTTTAGTCATAAAATAAATCAAAGAATCACCACCTTCCGTTTGTAGGTGATATTTAGAAACACCCTGTATATATGACGTAAACCTCCCCTTCCGAGTACATTCACAAAATTTTGTAGGCTTAAACACAGTCAGATGGGTGTGCTAAAAATGCATGGCAAACACCTTCAAGTGGTAGCCTGTCTGATACAAAATTTCGCTGAACGTTCCTTATTATGGATAAAGACAATAAATAAAACTACAACATAAGAGGAACCAAAACACAGATTATGTATTAGTCAAGAGAACTTATCATTAATACACCTAGAAAAATAAATTGGTTAAATCAACATTTCCATGGATGTTATTTAGAAAAATGTTAATTCAATAGAAAAACTATTGAAATGATCTAAATTTTGTTGTCAGTTTAATATCACAAATTGGTCAAAAGATATTTGTTCATTTGACAGGTAAAATATTAATTTGATATAAAATTATTGCTCGAAATGAAATGTTAATTCTATTTTAATTTAAACCCTGAGAATTGTTGTTTGAACTACCAAAAATGTTAGAATAATTTGAAAAAACTATCGAAATAACGTTTATTTGCAATCAATCCGAAAATTGAAAGTTGTTAAGTGAACAAATTCTACACATTGATTTTACTTTTTGGTTAATTAAATGGACATTTCAAACGGTTATTTCAACATGTAGAATGTTGAATATTAGTTCCGTATTTGAACATTTCAGACAGGAGGCGCTGCGGCCGAGAGGGTAGATCGAAGAACAACAGGACGACATTGTGCGTGCAGTAGATCATTGGTACCTGGTATGTGCCATGTTTTTCTTGCCTGCAAATTTTAATTTCCTCTTCTTTATACCTTATATTGGCGATATCTATAAAATTTTATTTGTGTCGTGTATTCATTTTATAAACTCTAGGTAAGTAGTACTTGAGCAATAATCTAGATACCTATTGAAGTAATTAAAATACCTTTTCTAAGTAGGTCTTCTGAGCACCTAATCGCCTCGTTTTTACAGGAAACATGGCGGTTAGTGGTTTGAGTAATCAAATCAGAATTCAAAAACTGTTATGTATTATGGAGTAAGTTGTATGACAGTTTTCCTTCGTTTAGTACAAGTCGTTAAGCAAAAAATGTTCATTCTCAAATGAATATTATCCAATAAGGCAATAAAGAATATTTATGCTTGTTTTGTTTTCTTTTCCCAAGTATTGTACAAGAATGTTATGTCGTTATGTTGGTCGTTTCTAGTTTTAAATTTCGTTTAGTGTGTTTGCTTTTGATTTCCTTATTTAGAAAAATAAGTATGTTTTTTCAAATCTTATTATATTTTTTCTGGAATGAATATATTCCTATAGGGCAGTTGAGTATAGAATATTTTATGTCTATTTTGTTTCCTTTTTCAAAGTACATATTATTGTACAATATTGTTTTGCTCAGTATTTTTACTTTTGATCTCTTATTACGAAGAAATTATGTTATTTTTTATTATATTTTTATTAGGTAATCTTTACCTGCTAATAAAATGTTTTTTAAAGTATTTTTTTTCATTGGAAAGAAGATTACTTATACCAACCTTCAAAAAAATGTTTCCTAAAAGTTTCCAGAAAGTTACCTCAACATATACATGTAACATTAAAACTTTGAGAATGTTGAATTATCATTTAAAAAAAGAATACCACAACACTTTCAGGAAGTTAAATCAACATTATCCAAAAATTAATTCAACATTTTGAAAATGTTACGATAACATTCCAAGGTAGTAATTTCAATATTTTTGGAATATTACTTCAACATTTTCAGAATGTTATATTAACACATTTTTATAGGCTACTTCAACTATTCTCATTTTGTTCAGTGGACAACTATTTATTGTTTAATCAATCAATGTACTTTGACGTTTTTTGTGGATTAATTGAACTCCCAAAAACCGTTGCTTGTATTTAATATGCATAAAGAGTTGAATCAATTTTTTTTTGTTTATTTCAACATTTTATTTTTCTCGGTGTAATGATAATTAATTACAGGAACACGGTAGAGTAATGACTCTCTCAGCCCTAACTTCACTAGAAAGTCATTACGGGGGAAGTCGATAATTTGTTGGAAAATTCGTATAAAGTTAATGATGCTTTGTAGGGATTTTTGAAGTTTGAGGATGATAGAGTTGAACCTTGAACACAGTCCAGAATAGTTTTTGCGGTCAAGTTAGGTCTGGGAGGGTCACTACGGGGGGAAGTCTATAGTTTGTTTGAAAATTCGTGAAAAATTAATAATGCTTTGTAGGCATTCTTTGAAGTTTGAGGATGATAGAATTGACCATAAGCACAGTCAAGAATAGTTTTGGCAGTCAAGTTAGGTCTGGGAGAGTCACTACGGGGAAAATTGACGATTTGTTTGAAAATTCGTGAAAAATTATTGATGCTTTGTAGGGATTTTTTGAAGTTTAAGGAGGATAGAGTTGATCCCTCGGTTGATCCTTAAGCACATTCGAGAATATTTTCTCTAGTCAAGTTGGAAGAGTCGCTTTGGCGGGATGTCGAAAATTTTTTTGTAAATTCTCAGAAAATTAAATATAATTGAAGGGATTTGTTGTTTAGAAAGAATAAAAATTATTTTTGTAAAACTGCACTTGTTACACTCGCTTGAGATTCTGTAAAAAATGTCTTCACAATTTTTTATTTTATTTGCTTGAAAAATCTAAAAAAAATTCTAGCTTCGATAAAAGAATAAACGGGCTGTAAACTAAAAAAATCCCAAATCGACCTTTTTAGTCCCCGTATTGACTTTCCCAGACCTAACTTGACTGGAGAAAGTACTCTCGAATGTGATTCAGGGTCAATTCTTTTTTCCTGAAATGACAAAAAATCCCTACAAAGCATTATTAATTTTTCAAGAATTTGCAAACAAATTATCAACTTCCCCCCGTATTAACTCTCCCGGACCTAACTTGACCGAAAAAACTATTCTTGACTTACGCATCCTCAAACTTCAAAAAATCCCTACAAATCACCATTAATTTTTCACAAATTTTCCAACAAATTATCGACTTCCCTCCGTAATGACTCTCTATGAAGTTAGGTCTGGAAGAGTCATTATTCTACCGTATTCCCATATAATCTCTAACTCTTATTTATCATTATTAATGCTAAGTAGGTACTCTTGAATAATACATAAATCATAATGAGAAACGCTTCAGCGTAATTTTGTCTTGGACAGGTTACCACTTGAAGGCATTTGCCATGCATTTTTAGCACACCAATCTGATTGTGTTTAAGCCTACAAAATTTTGTGAATATAATCGTAAGGGGAGTTTCACGTCATATATATATATTTTTTTAAGGTCGTTTGCCCTGAACGGGCTACCACTGGAAGGCGTCTGCCCTGGACGGGCTACCAATGGAAGGCGTCTGCCACGTGTTTTTAGGTTTCTGATATAATTCCCAATCTAGATCTAATCATTCCCAAAAGATTTAATTTGTGTACTCGTAAGGAGGGTTTTTGATCAAAATTCCCTAATTTGGGGGGCGGTCACGGGAGCGGGCTACCACCCATCGCTGGCAGACGGGCGGTTTTTGTTCACGAATGATAAAGTGTTTCGAGTACTTATAATGAAAATTTTGTGCCCGATGAAGGGGTGATTTGACGCTGGGCCACCGGTCTATTATTATACTTATTATATTCAGTCAGAACAAACAATAATCAGTTCACCTCCAGCTGTTTGTGCTGTTGGAGATACTGAGTACTTGAATCGGCAAAACGTTCAGAAGAAACTTTCCAAAACCACGACGGCCACATGGCCGAACAGTCATAAAATTTTTAAATTATTCTTATACTTACAAGCTTCCATATCTGGTATTCCTATCCAACGTCCTCTTATAAATCCGATGCTGATGCTCGATTTTAAAAGTCACCTCCCGTAATTGCCTCAAAACGTCACAAATAGCCGGATCCCGTTCTTGTAACACTTGAATATACCGTTCCAAATGGGGTATGTGGTTGATAACCAGTGCATGGATGCGCTGCAATTCTCGTTCCGGATCCAGAGTCATGTGATAATTGTTGCTGTCCACTTGCGATACTTCGCTGCAGCCTTGGGCTAATTCGTTGGGAGATTTACAACTGCAAAAATCAATGGCTCAAGTTATTGAACTATACATAATATACACTGTTTGAAAAGTTCTGCAATTCCATAGTTATTAAATTCATGTTGATGGGTAATTCCAAAAGATCAAGGTTCTGCAATTTCAAATACTTTACAAGTTTTCATTCCAAACGTAACTCAACACTTGAAATCAAACTCTTTTTTTAGATATCTTTTTGAAAAGATAGCTAATCCAAACTATCCACAAAAAAACAAAAACTGTAAACTTAGTACCTTTAAAATTACTACGTCAGCAAATTCTAAATGCTACTTTTACTCACCACATCCACTCTCCATTAATAAACGCTGATGGATGGTACTTTTTCAACCGATTCGCATTAGTTTGGCAGATTTTAGTCAACAAATCCACCCACTCTTTTTCCTCCACACAATTTGCAGCCTGCACATACAACGCCCTCTCCGGCTGTACTATTTGAAACATATTTTTCATTTTGAATGAGGTTTCCGCTAGCCGCTCTACAGCCAAGATGTTAGAGAGTGGAATTTCGCATAAGGCTTCTTTCCCTCGACTTTTCGAGTAGCTCAAATTCTGAGTGGTGAGTTTGAAGTATCTTTGCTTGAAATTTTTTCTGCCGAATCTTTTTCTGCCTTGGGCTCTTTTGATCATTAACCTATAAAATATATTAACATTTACAACCCACAAACTTCATTAGGATACTATCAATATGTAGTAATGAAGGAGTTTAGTGAGCAATTTGCAGTCTATTACCTGGTAACTTCTCTATTTTTGGCAGCAGGAAAAATACAAACATGTTTCAATAAATACATCAAGTAATGGTAAATAATTACAAATTCTTACCCTTCTTTTAGCGTCACAGGTTTGTCATTTTCAATGATTTGCGGACTAGACGTGTTAGCCGAGATTATTTCCAAAAATTTCCTCATGGCCGTTTTATGGGTATCCGTACAAAAAGCTTTGTATAAACAATCCATATATTCTTCTTTACACACTTGTTGCGTCGATCTACAACTCACCTAGAAAAACAATTATGATAAATCCACTTTTAATCTGGGACTTTATTAACATACCAAATTTCCCAATGACTGGATTGTTTTGGAAATCAACGTGAGCGTCCTATTTGTCTGACAGTCAATAGCTTGCGTCGTCAAATCAAAAAGTCTGGGTCCCAATATCGCTGGGGCGAAAAACCGCAGGAAAATGAATCCCGATATCACAGAATACCTAATTACAAACGAAAATCAAATAAAAATCATAAAGAAAATTCTAAAAGCATTATTAATTGTTACATCTATTCTAGGCTATAAAAATTTAGGATGATCTCACCTTACTTCTTTATTATTAGGAAAATACATCATAGCACACTCCTTCAAATTATGAAAAATCTGACACATGAGCGCAGGACAATGAACAGCGCTCTGCGTGATGTCATCGAAAATTTTTTGAATGTAAAATTTCAAATTTGTCTGGTTTGTCTGGATAGTGTTTGGATCTTTCACGCGGGTTGGATCGATTTCGCAAGGTTTCTTCTCACTGGAAAATATTATCAATAAACGATTTAATCTAAAAATAATTATAAACAAGATCAAAACGGTTTCGAATTTAATTTTGTATTTTTTTAAACAAGACAAGGTTTGTGATGGAATAGGCCTAACAACTCGTAGCCATGCATGATATAAATTAAATATACTTTTGGAAGCGAAACAACTATTTTTATAAGATAACTTTTGCTACTGTCGTTGAAAAACTCTCTGGATTATTGGAAATCTCTATCATTTTTCTCTTAAAATTTTCTGCCCAACAAAAAAAAAATAGGATCCTCAATATAAAACTTGCAATTTTTTTTTAAAATTTTAAAAATCTGGTCTAATAAACTAAAAAATAAGGCACGCCAAATATGAAGCTTTGAAAATTGATGTTTTGCCTATTTGAAAAAGTCGATAAATGCATCAATGTGTGTTACATCTTAGGTTACATCTTTGGCTCGATCTTTGGTTACATCACTAGGCTGATTTTGATTGCAAGTTCCTGTTGTTCAAAACAGAAATTAAGTCGGCAAAATATCTGCTCTTGTTAGCTTTAAGAATACTGTGAGAGCTCAATATAATAATTGGTGCCAATTAGAACGGTTTGGTGCTTCTAAACTAATCGAAACTCGCTTAGAGCCAGGATCAATACGTTTGAAATTGCTCAGAGTGGATATTCTTCTTTTTCTAAGCATTCGGAGCAAGACATTCAGCTGCTGATTATAATAATTGCTAAAACGATAATCAGGATTTAATGTACTTTGAGCTGTGATGGGTGACGTTGTCAATGCTTTCTAGATAGCTCATTGAAGACGAAGTAAAAAAAACAGTCCTAATCAACGTAATCAATGAGGCGTCCATCTGAGAACCAACATTCGTCTTATGAATCAAAATTTAGAAATTTTCAACGATTCGTTAATTTTCGTTACCTACATCATGGAGGACACTTTCTCAAAAACATTTTGTTCAACCGCCACACCCAGTCTTGAATTCTTGAATAGAAACACTTATTCATCAATTATTTTCGGATGCCTTGGACAGTTTTAGACAACTTTTATAAAACAATATGTGGAATAGCTGGTCTTGAAATAATAACCATTTTTCACTGTGATTATTTGATATTATCCAGTTGGAATAATTTTCCCAGCGTTTTTCATGATGAGGTCAAAGTTCAAAGCTTTATCCCTACGAGCTGAGAAGATACACATTTTCGTTCAGATAATCGTTTTTATGCGGAGACATGTTCGTTCACATAGTGGATAAAATTTATGAATCTCTATATGAAGATCAACAGATAGTAAATCCAATAAATATCTTCAAGAACAACTCCAAAATCAAGGTTCCAAAGATAATAACATCGAGCTTTAAACTGCTAGAGGGATCAACAAGCATATTTGTTTTGTTCCATAATGAGGTAGCGGGGTCAGAGGGGTGATTCATCCGATAAACAAAACGAAAAAAGGCCCTGTTGCCGAATTTTTTCCTGTTCGAATAATAATCTCGATAATAATGAATATCGTCATCTATCGAAAAGTATCTATTTCAAATTTGTCTGCTTATAATAATATTAAAAATATACTTGCGACTTTTTAAGTCTATACTTAAAATAATTCTAAAACAACAAAACCTTTTATCACGACTCAATTTGGTTTTAAATGGAACTACGTACCTACTTCTAAAGAAAGATTTTACAGTCTGGCAATAACGTAGTAATTGTTTTGTGTTCTCAACTTTCTTGTGACAAATCAGCTGACTGCGTTCGAGAACCTGGTGTGTCGTATAAAAATCACACAGCTGCCGTTCGGAAAGGCGAAGTGTGGATTAAAATCATATGGTTTTCGGCGTTCGGAAGGGTGTTTGACACGTATTGATGTGCGCACCGAATACTCTAGAGTGAAATTTAAGCTCACATTTTGAAGATGCACTCCCTGAAATAATTCCCACACCAACAACCAGGTTTTCGAACGCAGCTCTCTGATACCCAAAACATAAACAGACTGGTTTATAAACATTCTATTTTCATAAGTGCGAGAAAGAGGGCCTGGTCTCATTCTGGAACCAAACAAATTCTATAGCACATTATTATCGTTATTAGTCTAGAGAGAGAGAGAGTGTTCAATGGTCGAAGGATAATAATAATAATCGTTTATTACGAAAAAACCAATACATACAAAAAGACATAAATTCAAATACATTTATTGTTTACTACTAGTAAGGCCATACTAAGTCCACCAGGATGTGTCTGGCTGTCTCAGTCTCGGGTTCCTTATTGCAGAGTCTGCAATTAAATTCTCCGTCGTACAGGTTCATCCTATTTGTGTTCAGGTCGACCTTTATTGGTGTGTGGCCAGTCAAGAGTCCCGTTACGGTTCTCAGTCGGCTCCTGCTCATTTGTAGCAGTTCCGCAGCCCTTTTGCTGCATGGTTGGTCGATAAATTCCCTACCATGATTCTGCCTGGAAGTCGATGTTCTTTACGAATCCTTTGAAGTAGCTTCTAGTCATACTTTTTGGTATTCCTAGAGCCGGTTCTGGCCCAACAAGTTTTGTCTCTGACCCTCTCTTTGCGAGTTCATCAGCTTTTCCATTGCCTTCGATTCCTCTGCGTCCTGGCACCCAGATAAGTTTCAGCTAATTCTGGTCCGCCGGGGTCCTGAGTTCTTCCTGGCATTCCCCTACTAGTCTTGATGACACTGTCTGGATCGAAAGCGCCTTCAGTGCCGCTTAACTATCAGAAATTATAAGGATCTGCCTGTTGACTGTGGCTCTCCCGTTGTTCTCCGCTCGCCGTTGGAATACAGCGTACACCTCTGTCTGAAAAACAGAGGCATGGCTTCCCAGTGCATATAATGATTTCTATAGTTGTCAGAGTATACCCCTGCTCCGGTACCAGACGCGGTCTTCGACCCGGCTGTGTACCAGGTCTGGTCTTATTTTTTGGACTCCGGTATGCCATGTTCCCATTCAGTTCTGCTTGGGAAGCTTGCCTCGAATGGTCTGTTCAGGCAGTGTCGTCTTGGCATGTAGTCGGTCCCCACGAGTTCTACGATTGCCATGTGTCTCGTCCTTTTGTTGGAGGCGGTTGTCCGCTGCAGTCTGTACGCTCCCATCCTTGCCTCCTCCTGTATCACTATCTAGATGTGGGAGGTCTAGGAGGGTCTCCATGGCTGCTGTTGCTGTGGAGCGTGGATCGCATTGACCCCGGTATTCCAGAGCAGGCCAGTCTTTGCACTTTGCTGAGTTGGCCTATAACACTTCCCTGCAGTCTTGGGCCACCACACCAGGGAGGCGTATTTCAAAATAGGTTTGACCATCATGTTGTATGTCAATACGGATGTCCGGTCTTAAGCCCCATAATTTTCCATGCAAGCGTCTGGCTATCATGATAGTACAGTAAATAAGGATATTTTACTAGAAAAAAATATTTAATGGCTGAAATTTTGAGGGTGTGTTCGGGGCAAAGACAATACTACTACGTACGTAGTAGTATTGTCTTTGGTTCGGGGGCATGTCCTGAGTCTAAGACTGAGTTCTCGTATTCGAGGGGGTGGAGGAAGATACTACCCCCTCTTTATGTAGGGTTGAGTTCGTTCTAATTCCTTATCTTCGGTGCTATTGCCCGTGCCGTCAAGTCCGAGAGATCAAATTTGTGGGAAATAAAATTATCTATCTAATGATAATAAAATCATGGTCATAGGACGTTTAGGTGAGTCACAATGGCCGGTCAAAGGTCAAAAGTGGGGGGTAGCTTTTGGTTTTTCGTGAATACCGTGAAACCGGTAGGTTTTTTCGCATACTGCTTAGATACCATTTCGAAGTACTTGAAATAACCTAAAAAACGAGTGCTCAAGCACTCATCTACTGTGAATAATAGTTTGCCGTCAATCCAACGACCAAGTTGACCGCGCGCGCCAATGTTGTACTTCCCGATAAGCTAGAAAGTTGAAATTTTCAGGGGACTTAGAACTTTAAATTTTGTCGAGCCAAAACAAATTTCATCCCCCCCCCCCCTGGGAAACCCTGGGGGAGCTGTCAAAGTTTTAACTTTCGACCCCTGTACAGGGTGTCCCATTTTCGATGTTTTAATAGGCTATATCGAAAACCAGCAGAGATATCAAAAATCTGGGAGCTCATTCTCGAGCTCTTTTTTTGAGAAAATAACAATGGCAAAGACAAATCACGGCTAACTTGATGCGTGTAGGAAATACAGGGCACTTTTCAAATTATGTCCAATTTTAAAAGACTCTCTAATTTCCTTATTAAGCCAGGGACACATCTATCATGCATTCTTCCGATCCGACTCCGATCATACAATCAGGGTCCTTATTCTTGGAACAGGGAGCAGCGTTCCCAGGAGAACTAGTGTTCCGCTGCTCCCCTGTTCCAAGAATAAGGACCTTGATTGTATGATCGGAGTCGGATCGGAAGAATGCATGATAGATGTGTCCCTGGCTTTATTCAAGATATCCAAAAACGGAAAATACTTTCTATGGGCAGTTTTTTAAGAAGAATCCTGTTTCCACACTCTGGTGCGAAGTGGTGCAGCCAAACGAAAGCGCCTACACCGCTCCAACCTCACAAACGGAATGACTTTTCAAATATATGAAATTGACTTATGACTTTTGAATTACATTTTTTGACACACACAATTTTGTTGTAATCAATCAGAACCTGTAAAAATTAATTAAAATAAAAAAGGATTTAAATGTTATATTGTTCTTTTAAATCAATAAAAATTAATCAAAACTATAACCATTCTAACCATTCATATTATGGTCCTTCGAGCCGGATGAAATCAGAAAAAACAGACCTATAATCACGACGCAGTTGGAATCAAGACGTTTTTGGTTAGGATTTGGAAGTCCCTAACCAAAAAACTGTAGCCTAGCGGACTTGGTGGAGCACTGAATCGACGGCGACGGCGTACCTACGACTACGTATAACAGATAAGTCCTTTTTACCATTCCTATTGTCCTGCTTGTACAGTTTGCATGCTTTTGCTTGTGTAA